CAAACGGCCGCTTCAACTGGACTCTGCACCTCTTTCGCAACATCCTCTCTGATGACTTTTTTTAGGCAAGCGTGGGAAAGGCGGAGCCTCAGTTAACTAGAACTAGAGAGCATGTGGCGGAAGAGATGCAGAAACCCGCGCGAAAGTGGAGATGCTGGTGACCCGACACTGAAAGTGATAAACTCTGCAAGTGACAAACATTGAAATCAAAAAACAATCCTTGCATAGACGAACAACCAAGCTCATTGCGAAGGATCCTGTAAAGAGGAAAAAGAACGTGTGAAAAGGCTCTATGAGAGGATGGAATTTCGTAAAGGAGAACGTGCAACGTGCAACGCTTTGTGATTTTGACTATCAGTTAACAGAAAGAAGAACAGAGCACAAAAATTATAACAATCAGCCGCTGAAAGTCCCTTCCAAATTTTTTACGAAGTCCCGTCTGGTATTCAATATTTTAAGAAGTCCCGCTTATACATAGCAACCCATACAGAGCAAGGAAGACATTACCAAGCGCATTCCAACGAGCAATGAGTCTGATAAGCCACATTCTGAAAATTTGAGAATGATCGGAACGCGGTTTCGAGATGTCATAGGGTTGTTAACAATTTAAATTCGTAGTAAATAAATGCAACTAAAGTTCCCCACTTCGCTTTGTGATTTTAAAGTATAGAGAGAAGAGGAAACTGCACGCACTATCCTGGACATAAAGAAACCTTCAGTACGGTACATTTTGATTTCTAATGTATGGGGCTTGGAGAAACCACGTAGTGCCAGAAAAGCACCTTCAATGGATGCCCACATCAGTTTTAGTCGCACACATAAGCCAAGATAATCAAATTGAGCTTGAAGTACACCATGGTTCAACTTGTCTCCGTTACTAGAGACCGCTTGAAAGCTAAAGTTCAAAGTTGAAAACAACTAAATATTAAAAGGTTACAACCCTAAAAATTATAAGATAGTTGGCTACTTTTCCGCAGCCTTCAGCTCTTTTTTTTGCAAGACTAACTAAGCACCAACAATGTCGCAAAACCAAAATTCAGAATACGAGACTACGAAGAATAATCTGTACTATTACTCGACAAGCAAGCGATGTGATACAAAGTACGAGCTCAACTTTGTCATAGCTTTAGATTTTTTGAGTTATCGTAACAGAAGTAAGAGGAGGGCTTAACGAATTTTACTCATTAAGCGATGTATTATCTTCCTTGATAAGTTTTAAAGGCGAAGAGAAAAGTAAATGGATCTACATGAAGGCGGTAGCTTGGTAAAACTAAACATTTTCAAAATTTAGCAGATAAAAAATGCGTATAGGTTAAAAAGCATTCCTTATTATATTCCGATAAATTGCTTATTAGGCCCGTATGCACGCACATCCCCGCTGGAGAGGGGAGGGAGGGGATCTGAGAGGGGGTGCGTCATATCTCGCTACTCTGGATATCTTTCTTCTTCCTGATCTATCTTGCTTTTTAAGGTTCTCATACACTTAAACCTGACAAGGGAATGGTCAGAAGTCGAAGTGGCCAATCCAAACGAGCTCCATACCATTCGATGCATCTTAGAAAGTTTGTTTCAAATATGTTTTATATTTGCAAAACGCCTTTGTAAGCAAAGTTATGACCACCGCTAATGCGAAAAAATCATAAACAAAAATCGCTAGATTAGGCACATTTTTGCTCTTTTCGCTCACCTTTGGGTACTGGCCATGTGAATTGACCTAGCTGCATGTCTTGGTCTAGCACTAAGCCAGAATGGGCTCTGTACGGCCAAGTTTACTCTTTACACACACCATTTCTTAGCAAAATAATGGCTCGAACGGCTTATAACTCCATCCACAAAAGTGGTCTGCAGATAAGGAAGACAGATTTTTGAATTGGCCACTTCGATTTCTGACCATTCCCTTGTGAGCATAAGGGATGCCAGGTTACTGTCATACACAATGTGTTTTCTGCCCTTTTGTGTATTCCCTTGGGGATCCGGGATCACCTCTTATTTTCAATGTGATTTATCTTCCTGAAAGGTCAACGAAAATGCTGCAAAATTGTACTGAGGGGTGCATACGTGCCTTACAGAGCTTGGAAAGGTTTCTTCCAAGCTTGTGTAAGATTGCCTTGCGCGCACGGATTTAGAGCCAATTTTTAAGGCAGGGACAGCATGTTGTGCTGACCTCGGAACCTCGGACAAGCGTGAATAACAAAAAATGTTCAACAATAACGACCAAATTCTTGTCATATCTGTCGATATTAGAGCTACAGCCTGCACTTATATAAAGATATCCACTGGACAGCTCTCAGTGTCGTCCGTGTTCTATGTGCCGCAACTGACTTTCTCACTAACACTGCGGTGGATAAAAGGTCAGTTTCTTTATCAGCGTGTGTCTTAGTACGTTGCGCGCTAGACGCAGAATAGATTCACTGATGTTTAGCAATGGCTAGCGTCTTTGTCTTGAAAATTTAAACTAAGATCTACTCTAAACATTCAAAGACTACTACTTTGTCGAAGCAAAATCGACACCACCGTACTAACCTGGGCCCAACAGACAAACACAAGAACTGCTACATCAAAATGCTTGAGTTTGGAAAAGAAAGAACCTTGAATTACTAATAACTTGTTCGCTAATGCCGCATTTTCTAAAGCATTTGGTCCTTTTTCAACTTTTACCCAGCTTTGCAACTGAAGATCAAGGCAATGTTTTTTTGAAGCTCCAATGATACTGAATTGGACCAAATTTATTTGTTTTTCAATGAAAGTTGGAATTTAAAACAACTGTTGCTTTTATCCCAATAAGTTTATTGATTTTTTTGCGTTGGTGCACATTAAAACCAGTTAGAAGCAAATAATTAGTTTTAAAATTGAAATTCCTTGTTTGAAAGTTATGGATTTAGGTTTCTGCCGAACATTAAGCTTAATGTGATCTCTATGATTGCGAAACCTTTTTACAAGGAAGCTGTGGATTTTGTAGTAATGAATAGAGGTGTGTTCAAAAAAAAATAACGGCCTGCAAGCAATGGTATGTTTACAACAATCGAAAACGCTTGTCAATATCAGATGAGTCATACGACGCTTATTACGTGATTTACAGGGCTTGAAGAGGTACAGAGTTCCGAGCGGGAGCGGAGATGTTGGTGCACCCAACACTGCAATTGATAGCCCGGTATTTAAGTTTGCGTCTTCTTTGCAAAATTGCCATTGTTGTGCATCTCATGATATGCGCACCTTGCAAAAGAAAAGCTTGAGATAATTCTTAGAGAAAATTGGCAGAAATAAGAAATTTATCCTAGAATAGCGCTTTAAGCTCTAAATGTCAACGTGCATCACCTTTCCAATCGCCAATTCACCATCGACCGCCTTGTAAGTTTAAGTTCCTCCAATTTTGCTGTATTTGATGCCTCTAGATTTACCCAACTCTGCGCATATTTGTGTCTTACAGAGTCCGAAAATTGAAGAGAGTGTTCCAATATATGTTTCAAAAGGGCTTTTTACTTGAAATAGCATGGTGCGCCTTCATGTTCAAATCCCAGCAGTAGTCGCATGCATTTGGTTTGTGATTACGGTTATTGTCTAGACTTGAATTCCTCATCAGCAAATATTTGCAAACAAGAGTTTGTATCAAAAGTAAGCGACATTATTTTCGAACTTTCTCGGTATCTTCAACGCCCGACGTCGAAAAAAATGGCAACTTTCGTTTTGAAACTCAAAGAACATGATTAAGGTCAGACAACCTCAAAAGTAGTGTTTAGGCAAAGCTAAATAGTACCACATAGCAGTTTCGGTCCCAGAATTTTCGTCCAGGGTGGGGGGGGGGGGGGAGGGAGCGACAAAAAATTTTTTCAGCAAAGGTGCGCGATTTTCGGGGTGCTTTTCAAAATTTTTGCGGGTCTCCAACCTCAAAATCTGGAAGAATGGGGGGGGGGGGCCCTGCAAATCGCAAGTCGTCCGTTAAAAAGGGTACGAGGGACAAGTGCCTTGGCGCTGCCTTTGAGTTACGTACTGTCTTCTTAGTGATGTGATGAACATTCTCAATGAATGAGTATCGGTGAAACGCAGTGACAATCATTATCAACTTTTAAAGCATTTCATTGGCTTAGTACTTTAGAATTTCAGGGGCGGAATGGCTTGCCGAATAATGATCAAAAAAATTCAATCCCACGGAATAAATCTACAATTGAAGACGCATGGGCACATATACTGACAAGGAAACGATAGTTGGTGTCCGTGGTTTGAGATGATTGGTATACTATCACATTCGCCTTGAAACGCTGATTCCGAATCTGACTTCCGTTTCTGTTAATCGTTTCTCTCAAAGAAGATATGAAGGATTTTTGCGTCAATGGTTGCCTAAAAGGAATACGGTCGAGGATGCCTAGCTTTTAAAAGAAGTGATTGAGGCAGTACAAAACTTAAAAACACAAAAGGACTTAAACCTAAATTTGCCTTAATTTGCGAGTCTATCTCACTAGCCACTACACCACATCTTAGCGGCGGTTTTGGAATTTCGACCACATCTCCTTTGGCGCGAAAATCTTCATAACTTTTTTTCCGAGAAATGATTAGCAAAAACGGAAGTCAGATTCGGAATCAGCGCCCAAGACGAGTGTAATGTTATGCATCTCATCTTAAAAGGCCACGGACACCAAGTATCGTTCCCTTGTGAGAGATGAACAAATTTTATTTGGAGAAAAGTAGTTATCGGCGATAGAAAATTTTGTGGAATGCCCTGCATATAAAAAAAACTTTTGACCTTTTTTGACTCAATAAATCAAAAATAAGGTCGAACTGTTTACAAAAATTACATGCTAGCTACTGTTCTTGATGATGAACGATGACAAAGATCTGCTGTGAAAGAAATCTTAGAGCATCTTTAGTTACGTGCCGTCACCTGCCATAAGTACATCAACAAATTGCCAAAGCAAGTCTTATGAGTATGTATGCATGTAAGTAATTTTGCAGTTCAACATGGGGAGGAAAAGGATTAGAGTAAAAACTCTTTATTGCATATTGGTAACAAAAAGAATAAATAGGAGAAATGCAAAGAGTGCATGAAACATAATAGCAATTCAGCAAAATCATATCTCCGTGCTGTAATCGTTACTTCGCATTGATCATAACGGATGCAGAAGAAACAAAGATAGTGCTGCTGTTCTGCAACAATATCGTTAAGAATTCATTTGTTTTTGATCTAGATTTTTTTGAAGAGAATTTGGCATACCATATCATTAGGGTCACATCCTACTGCTCGTCTTAATCTGTTCTGAACATCTTTGTTGAAAATTGTACATGTCCATGGCTGAACACAGCAGAGAAATGCGTTTGCAAAAGGATATAAAAATTTCCATTTCTCGTATAAATCATCCTAAAATATTATTCGAAATGAACTTGGAAATTATTGGTGATCGGCAATAAGAATTCGCGTTATGAGTGCCTAAGTAATAATCACCAGATCAATTCCCATATTTTGAATAAAGTAAATGAGAGTGTAGCTGCCCACGTTATATATGAAGAATAATAAAAATGCCACCATCAGGCCAGCAACTTGAATGCTGAGGCGAATTTCATTCCTCCTTGTTCTGCAAAAATTCAACTTATCCATAGATTTAATGTTATTCTAGTCATAACTTTGTGATTTACGGTCTTTCAGTGCACATCACATGAAACGAAAGCAGTATACGAACAAAAAAGTCATACTTGTTGAGAGGTGCTTTATTGCGTATCATATATAAAAGTACAGGGACGTAGCAAGATGCACATATTATAAATGATATTGCAATAAGAATAGTGGACAGGATGTTGATGAACTAAAATCTGAATATTATGTGTTAATTCAGCCTTATGGTAATTGTGCGATGTCATAGAATGGAATTCGTTTTTGAACCGATCAGGAACAAACTATGCAGACATACAAGACGGGATGGGACGGACGTCATAGCCCACTTTTCTTGATTGACCGATGCTGATCATCGATTTTCCCGCAAACTTTGGAGACGGGTGTGGGGAGAGGGGGAGTGAGTGAGAATGATGATTAAGCGAACGTAGTGGGGAAAGAATGACGGAGATGTACAAAGACAATGGTAATTCCAATCGTAGTGCATTGAGAAGACCGGCAAAGCGTATGCCATATAGGTTCGTACGCATGTACATCCCGCGTCATATTTTGCTACTCTAGATATCTTTTTACTTCCTTCTCTATCTTGCTTATAAAAATTCTCATACTCCAATACCTGTGCATAATTGATTTTAGGTTACTGGCATAATTGATTAGATTTTTACTATTTTGTGTGATCCCCTGGGGATCCCCAGGGGATCAATTCATAATTCCAGTGCCATTTATACTCCTGAAAACTCAATAAAACTGTAAAATTGATATACTACGGCACTGCTAAAGATGTTTTTAAAAATAAGTGAAATTTCAGGATATCTAAATTTTGGCTTCAAAGGGGATATCGTTTTCAAAATTCTGAAATGCCACCTCCTGCCGGGCCCTGTCCCTAGCTCGCAAGCAGTGGTTCATCGAAAATCTCAATATTCGAGATTTTACTTGTTTTTTCTATGAACATGTTCAGCTGCTGTAGTATTCAACACAGTTTTACTGCCTTTCATTAGATTTTCAAGAAGATAAATGACTTCAAAAGTGAGAGATGATCCCTTGGAGATCCCCGGTGTGATCACCAGGGGATCACACAACATGAAAAAAACCAATCTTGTATGCTACCTGCCATCCATTATGCGCAGGTATGCGAGTGCGACATATAAAAATTGGCATTCTAAAACGTTTTGATTACAAGTTAGCTAGACATTGCCACGAATGCATTCTTTTTATTTGTTTATTTAGAAGATTCTGCAGTTTTTTTTCGAACCAATCCGCACAATTTGTATCATCCCATGCAAAAATTATATCTTTTTTCGGTGTTTATGTTTTCGTTGTAACTCGTTTCGCACGCGCTCAAATTACCCCGTGATGGTCTCAGTTCATTGCTTCTACTTTGTCCATCTTCAGCTAATTCTCAGGAATTTTATTTTGTATATTCAAAAACAATCGCAAATAGTAGATAAAACAAAGGTCTGGAAATTGGTGTTTTTCGCACCTTTCCATCCAGTTTAAGTTTCGTAATCTGATCATTTCTTGGAGCGACCAAATTCTAACAAGAATTAGAACATCAACAAGTAAGCAACTTGAGCACCAGCCGATGTAAAATTGTTTCTTTCTTATTGCTTTTTGCGGCAATACTATGTTTGAAGAATTTTGATTTCACAGCTGCATGCGGTAGTAAAAAAATTTGAAGTTTTGACTTTCAAAACCTAGTCAATTTCTTACAAAAATCAAATTCAGTCATGATAAAGTTCCGAAAAGCATATACTACCGAGCTTATTTAGTATTCAAATCAAGCGATTCTTTGAATCTTACAACTTTGAAACTTTGTTATGAACTTTCGTTTAAGCTAGGTACTGCACAAAAACGACTGCAGTGTGATAGCTTCGCTCTGTCATGTTAAGGCTCCCTTAGAAGTAACAAACAAAAATTAGTCTATTGGACAAAGTAACAATGGGTTGAGCTGCAATATGTCTTGAAAATTTTTAAGAAACCTATAAGAGCACCGTTTACCTAAGTTGAGAATGATGAGAATTGATGCAATATGATAGAGAGGCCCTAACAAAGGATTTGCTCAGTTCTAACCGCAAAAGATGGATCTTGATCGCACGAGCGTCTTCAGCGCCACCATGATGATTTTTCTAAACACGTTAAAGGCAGTGTCCCGGCAGAATCGCACCTTAGGAGTTATAGTCGCGGTGAGGTTCGTGGTCATCTCATTAATATCCAGGCCCAGTCCAACTTGTTGATGTTCTCCCCACGCCAAGAAAATGGCCCTCGAACCGGCGCTTGCTCGGACGACTTATCTTAACTCTTCGGAGAGGGATCCCACTACCGCTCTCCGCATTGTGCATGTTATCCAGAGCAAAAATTACAGGCGGCAAGGTCTTCGTGCCGGGGCCTCTCAATTTTCCATTGGAATTCTCGTCCGAGTTGTCTTCCAAAAATTGGGTAAACGCCCAGAAAAAGGTCAACCGTTTCAAAGCTTAAATTCGGGGTCTACGGGTCGAAAAGACCAAACATGCAAAAAGATGGAAGTGCAAAATCTGCCCACCAATGGGGGTGATCTGAAAATAAGAAGTCCAAACGTGAGCTGATATATTCGGACTTGTCCTAAGCCTTACAAAATTCATCTTTTCCTGTCGAGACTTGGACGTTTGTTCAGCTAAGGGTCTCGCTACTTATAACATCAAAATCTCGTCAATCGCAGTCTGCTGGACGGTAACTTTGAAGTGTAGCAGAACTTGTTTTAATCGGACAGTTCACTGCCATTCTGTGCAGACTTCTTGAATAGCAGAATTTACAGTTCTTTTATTTCAGTGAACGTATCCACTTATGCGACACAAGACAATACTGATGTGTTCAAAATCAGTCTTGAAAGTTTGACTACAGCATACCGCAAGAGTATCTTTCGACAAGTCTGACTCCAGATCTCGCGTGTAAGACGCTTTGAGACCAGTTGAAAGCGGTAGCGGTAACATCATCAGGACCGCAGTGGACCAGTGCACAATAATGAAGATTATTGGTGGTGTCTTATTCATTACCTGGAACAACACAATTTATATCTAAAAACTCTCGCTAGTAAAAAGGCGAGAAGAGCAAGAGAAAGACGATATGTCGATAAGGAATCCTGCCTCAGACTAATATTGACAACCTGCATTCCCTGAGCCATGTTAAGCATTTTTAAGCTTACCTGCCACCTCTCCTATTTATCAGCTAATGCATTATAGTAAACAGCTGCTGATAGCAATGTTATCGTTTCCAGCTTACAATGGGATACGGTGAGTTATGTCCTAAGCCAAGTTCAAGCTATGATGATTTGTGGTTTTGCTTTTTGCTTTTTGGTACACTTTCCAAATTTTTTTTTTCAAATATGGACTTGAAAGACATGCAAATTCAGCGCGAGGGTCTTCGTCATACAAGCAGTTTCTTGTCTTTAGTAACTCAAAGAATTTTACTTATGAATTCTGATGGTTCTAAAATTTTTCGCCAACTTGAACACTTTGAAAACTTTGTCAAGACAACAACCTTTGAAGGAACAGAAATTCTAAGATTATCGTAAACATTTCTGTTTCTATAGATGAACTGTGTCAGTGAGCTTCCAAAAAAGATCACATGCAAGAAAAGGAGCAAAAGCTGCAGCGTTATCTATCAATGCTCTAGAATTTTGCTACCTCAGACGTCACTACTGTTATTCAAAATGGCATGTTATGCGAAGTGATACAGTGGAGCGATTCAATTTTAGGCTGTCTCATAAACAGACACAAACATGCAACATCTTCCAACTCTTACCATGGTAAACTTACTATTGCAATCGTGGCTCCGTGCTGACATACAATAATATATCTTTGAAATGCTATCAAGATAATCCCAGTGCATCTGAGAAACAAAGAGTGATTAATAGTGATAATAGCTGCATTAGCCAACAAATAGCGATTGTCCCAGAAAAATTCGTCGCACAGCGACGATCTGCGTAAAATGACGAAGAAATCATAACAGAGTACGGAATATATGTCAGCAACACCCTGAAACAATTTCTTGAATAATCTGTACCATAAGGTCATGAACCATGTCCAAAAATGTTGTTGTTTTCCAAAATTCGGTCATAATCAAATGCTCACCTGTGACAGCATCAGAATGTGGAAAACAGAAAGTGTTGGTCGCCTCCATATAACTATCATCATTGCTATATATAATGGGAGAGTCAACGAAGTGACTATTAAAAACACGAATTGTGCCCAAGTGATCATGATTTCTAGAGCTAAACAGGAGTTACGCTTGTAAACTTTTGTTATATGATGGAGATATGACGTATGTGAAGTAAGCTTCAAATAAAGAATCGTGACTGTTGGTGACAGCTATAGACTTTTTATTCAAATACCACAGATAACAAGCACAAGTTGACGGGTGTGGTGCGGAAGGCGACAATCCCCAAACCTTATGCCTTTAAAACTCTTCGGTGCTAAAGTAGCACGGCGCCAAGGTAAGGGGAATGCTCAGACAATCGCCGGGGCAGACGGTCCGCAGAATTTTGGGGCGTGGCTAAATCTTCAGCGGGCGGCAACTCCTTTACTGTCGCATATTCTCCTAGCAAGCAGCAATACATCAATTTTTGCAAGCGCTCCGCAAGTAATTTCTTTCAGCGAGCGCTGACCAAACTTTCAGCAAGCGCTCAAACTCTTTCTGAGCAGTTTCGGGCGTACAAGGGCCGAGCAAAGGTGAGACTATGTGGCAGAGATGCCATCGATGGTTCAACTACCCGAGTTTGAGGTACCTTCCCTCAGCGGAAGGTATCCTGGGTAGTGCGGTCCTTCACAAAGGACCGTGCAGCCTCTTACAATCTTGCATACTCTCGCGGAAAGACCGCGAGAATGCGCCCATTGGGCCGCAACTTATCCATAGAAAGACCGCGATAGTTCTCCGAGCGTTCGTCTAAAAATCGGCCAAAATTACTCCACATTTCTACAAGTAAACCGCAAGAAATAAGCAAACTATTTTTCCGGTGCCCGCTTGCTCATTCGCGATGGCCGTCTGCCCATCGCGATTATATGAGTGGGGGTGGCTTTTATTGAAGATTGAGAGCTGAATTTCGAATTGAATGTAACAAGTAAGGATGTTTTCGTTTTTAAGCAGCTTAAAAAAAGACCGGAATCAAACTGTGCAAAGAAAGAACCCGTTGTCTTGCTTTTTTCGCTGGAATCACCTTTTCATTGATCCTCTCCTCCATAGGCTCGTAATGTGCAGTATTGCGCATTGTTGTACTAAATATTACGTCAATAGAGTCATTCTCGATTTACTCAAGAGCAACTTAAGGAAATTTTGTCTGTTTCCACCCTTTTGCACACCATCTCCCTCGGTTCACCATACAATCGCTTGGTCTATTCTTCTGACTGTTCAAGTGGCCAGCTTGAGGACAGAGGTTTATGACGGTCTACCGTACACTTTCTAAGCTGAACTGATCCTCTGCTTTCCTTTTTTCATTTAACACGCTTCGGAATGCGAAATCGCGCGCGGCGAAAAGGGTGTATTTTCAGCCATTAGTTAACAAAGGGACCTGATTTCGTAGACCGCGTGCTATATCTGTAATGAGCATGTCGGATAAGCTCCGTACACAAAGTTTTGAATGAAGTCGGAGTGTTTGAGTTTTGTCGATTGAGAAGGACTTCTGCGCTTTTTTGAAAAATAGGAACATAAACTCAATTTCTAATACAGTGCTGGCCATAGCTATAAAGCCACCTTAAAAAATCACGGTAATTTGCCCTGTGTCAAACAGAATTGTCCAAAAAACCACCATCCTTTTTGTAAACTAACGTTATATCACTGTTCAGAACGGCTTCCAATTTTATTGGCTTTGGCTGGAGAAAAATTGAAAAATTTGAAAACACGTGTTCCGAAAGCTGGCCATAGCTATAAGGCCACCTCCTATTTTCAAGCAATTCTACATCCTTTGAATCTAGAATTTTTTGTGCGGTCATAGCATCAAAATATAAAGTATTTGTTACACCCAGGTGCTGTCGCCCTTCACAGCATTTATTTTAAAAGCTTGGCAAATCTTAATGCTTTCATCCAAGTCGAATAAGTGCTTGAAAACTCAGTAAACTAGCTGTTTTTTGCAGCAATGTGACTTTTTATGCATTTTGAAGCAAAAAATGCAATATAAATTTTCTTTGCAAAAGGCGACAGCACCTGGGTGTAACAAATGCTTTATATTTTGATGCTGTAACTGCACAAAAAATTCTAGATTCAAAGGATGTAGAATTGCTTATAAATAGGAGGTGGCCTTATAGCTATGGCCAGCTTTTGGAACACGTTATTTCAAATTTTTCAATTTTTCTTCAGCCAAAACCAATAAAATTGGGAGCCGTTCTGAACGTGATATAACGTTAGTTTACGAATAGGATGGTGGTTTTTTGGACAATTTTGTTCGACACAGGGCAAATTACCGTGATTTTTTAGAGTGGCTTTATAGCTATGGCCAGCACTGTATTATCCAAAAGTATCTGTGTTGCATGCGGTACACATCATTATTGAAACACCGGTTATTCTCTTTGGAAATCAAAGCGATAAGTTGCGGCGTCGCAAGCGTCATTCGCACTGCCGCACTTCGTTGCAACTGTTGTTCGATTTGCACTCATATCTCTTAAACAAATATTGTGGCACGGCTCTACAGAGTACTAGGAGCTTAGGTCTTTGACATGACAACCTTGGACCAAAAGAAACTTTTTGTAAACGTCAATAAAGATTCTTCAAAGCACCGTGCTGCACCATTTGCAGCACCGGTCCGAAATTGTAAGAAATCTTCTCATGAAAGTTGTTTGAGTGGAATTTTAAAGTTGGTGATGTGTGATTTAACAAGATTGTTGTAAACAAAGTTATTGGATAAGGAGAGAATTGCATTTATCAAGAACATGCAACAGTACTTTAAAGCTAGCCTAAAATTTGCTTACTAAATCAACTGGCTAGAATTTCGAAAGCGGAGAAAGTAGTGAGTAAGATAGAAAGTTTTAGAATTGGCTTTTGTGTTACTGGATAAACAACGCAAAGCGTTTATGTCTATGTAGTCTGTATTAGCTAACGAGCACGTATTGTCTTGCGCGGCTAAAGAAATGACGCACATACCAAACCATCCTAGCCTGTTTCAGTGCTACCAACATAACTTAATACTGGGAAGATTGCAAATTTCGGGCATCGGTTTCTTGTTTGGTTCATTACTGTCAACAATTTAGCAAAAATTTTTTTTCAGAAGCAAAGCATACAGGACCTGCGTTAATACTGAGACCGCTTGACACACACGATATGTCAAGCAATGAGAGTGTCAAGTCTTGTGGAACCGCTTGACACACATGGAGTGTCAAGTCTTGTATTAGGTTGGCACATAAGTAATGCAACTTTTTATATAACTTTTGTCTATTTGAACGTAGCGCATTCATTTTTTGGCAATATAAGGAATATGGGCCCGTAGTAATCTACCCTACCTGGTGGCATCAAAGATGCCGGCAGGTAGGCACACATCGCGGGGAAGTTGCCATCATCGGCGGCAGCTCGTGGAGTGTTGTAGGTTTTAATAATCTTATGTAACCTTAGCGCGCAACATTTCGCTCATCAAATTTTGATGACGCACACAGCCGCAAAACTGCTACCTCTCGCGCGATCGAACCTATGTGCCTTGACTTGAAGTGCCACCACGTTAACAATTCGACCATTCGGTCAGCCATTGTCGTTTGCACCAGCAATAGGATGAACGCGCTGGTAAATGGCCGCCTGTAAGAGGGATCAATACATTGCTTGAGAAACTTTGACCTGAAAGAACAGCTGATTGATATGAGCGAGAGAGGGGCGATATCGGTGCAAACGAGATTTAGAAGGGATTGCCAAAAAAGACAGTGTTTTTTATGGTTCTAAGGCATGACTAGATTTTTTCTCTGTAAGAAATCGTCGTTTTAAAAAAGAAAACTCATATAATGAGAAAAATGAGTTTTCTAAAGAAAGCAGAGTTTTTTGATTTTTTCGCCTGACGTAAATTGTGTGATATCGCCGCAATTCGCAAACTCACAGACGCCGTCGGCAAAGGTGCCACCACCTCGACGTGGTAGGGGCAAGTCGAGATGCCGGCAGCTCCCTCTCTCAAAAGAGCACGCTATTTTCCGTGCTCTCTGACCTGCCGGCAGCTGCCATCTCGCGGATTTCGACGAGCTGCCGGCAGGTTGCCGGCAACTGACATCGCGAAGTTGCCGGCAGCTCCTTCTGCGCTTCCAAATAATTTCCTACAGAAGGATTTCTAGAACCGCAGATTTCTATGGAATTTTCTACAGAGTCGAGGCGGCATCTTCGTCAAAAAAATTTTTGGAAAAAGGCCTGAGACGGCCTAAATTTGGGGTTTTAGTTTCTGGCCACCTCACGGAAAAGGTGCCAGCGACTTGCCAACGAGACCTGCCGCCAAATCGGGGGGATTACTACTGGCCATGATGTAAGCCTTCTAAAGCACACATTTTTGCCGAATTTTACCATCTTATGTGAGGATTACGGTACGTTTACGGTAGTATGGGAAAAATTTTAGAATGCATCAGATTTTGCTGAAGCTTGGCCTATAGGGCTTATTTGACATGCTGATCACAAAAATGAGATCCGCTTCGCATGAGAAGGCCTGGTTCGTGAGATCAAAAAATGATTTTCATTTTAGCGACAAATGAATATGATATTCGTGTTAACCGCATAGGATTACCCTATAGTGCAAAGTTATAGCGAATTCTGACTTTTTGCAGCTTGGTTGTCGACAAATTGCCTTCAAAATTTGACGCATTTGACTTGTTCAGGCGCCCCAGCTTGAATTTTGTTTAAATTTCATTTCTTTTTCACCGATTTCAATGTGTCAACTTCCAGCTACATGCTGCCTATAACTGCTTTTTCATATGTTTGAATCAGGTTTCTTAGGGCTTTGTGTTTGCCAAAAAATCGTGAAACCTCGATTTTCACCCGTTTTCAAAAAATGCTTAGGTTTTTTGTACTACGTTATCAAAAATCAAACGGTTTGCGCAGACTTGCAGCTTACATCACGATCTACATGATATCACAAAACAAAATTGCTACATAGAATAGGAGAAAAGTTACGGGAAAAGTTGCAAAAGTTATGTGCCAACCTAATTTATTGTTAAACGATGATCATCTTGGCATAAATTAACTAACTACGGGGTATTTCTCCAAAGCTTTGTACGTAAAAGCAACCCTCACCTTTTTTTGTCGGACACTTTCAGATTTATTGTAGGTAAACTG